TGGTAACCGTATTGAATGATCCTTAGAGCCCAAGTATCTGTTGTGATAGCAGACCAGTTGTGCAGAAACGGCTGAAGACGGGTGGTGGGTGGTGAATGAGTGAGTATGGGAGGACGAAAGTCAAAGATACTGCTTTTGCTTTCTCCCAGGTGGTTTAAAGGATTGTCGACGGTGAGACTGACGAGGCCTGTATCCCTGGACAGAAGAGGAGGACTGTCCGGAACGCTGTTGAGGTAAGTGCTTATAAGGGCGATATTGTTGAGTAGGTTGTTGATATTGGCCATAAGATCTACGCCATTGAGGCTTTTTCTGTCTAGACTGAGTTTGAACAGAATAGGACTTAGCTGTCCTTTTGGCTTTGTGGAGATCTTCTAAATGGGAGTCAGTCTTTTCATGGAACAAGCCACTAGCATCGAAGGCGAGGCTTTCAACCTTAGATTTTACATCATCCAGTATGTCTGCAGAGCGTAGCCAAGCATGCCTTCGGATAGTAATGGCAGACATAAGTACCCTAGCAGCGATCTCTGCTGCATGTCGAATAGAAAGGCGTTCATGTTTGGACACCGTCTGGGCTTCCTCATATGAATTGAGAAAAACTTGCCGGGCGTCTTCAGGAATTAGTTTTAGACCTGGCAAGACCTTGAGCCAGAGTTGTTTGTGATAAGCCCCTAACACAGTCTGGTAATTAATGACCCGGAGCAACAAGGTGATAAGGGAGTATATTTTTCTGCCTATAATTTCCAACTTTTTACCCTCCTTGTCAACGGGGGTAACGTGAGCCTTGATAGAGGGTCTGGAGCAACTTGTTTCCACAATCAGTGAATTTGGAATTGGATGCTTGAGTAGAAACTGGGTGTCAGCACCATGAATTCTGTAAAAGTTCTCTGTGCGACGAGGAACATTTGGAGTATTTGCAGGTTGAGCCCAGAATTCTTTAATGGTCTCCATAACCACTGACACAAAGGCTATACTGGGAGGAGCGGTACTATCCTTCTTAATGTCCCCAAAGAATAAGTCTTCACCCGGAGGTGAAGGAAGATTCAAGTCTAACTTAAGGGTTTTTGCGAGC